AAGGTTGTAATTACTTCTAAATTAGTATTTTGTCCTTGTCACATCTATCTTCTGGTCTGTTAAAGAAACTTGAGAAAATAATAAGACTGAGATGGGGGAAACGTACGATGTGCTCATTCACAGATTTTTCTATTGCTCTTAGTAAATTTTCAGGCTTTTGTTGTAAGTGGGATAGCCAGCGCCGCCTACCCAGAGTCATTCTTTGGGCCTCAGTGGCGTGACTTCAGTCCATGCAGTCCCTGCTGTCACAGAAGGAAAGTAAACAACTGGCCAATGGGAGACTGACTACACTGTGGAAAGTAATCACAGGCTTTTCACCTAGAGTCATCCAGTTTTTAAGTGAAATGCAGGACACATCACACTCTTTGCGTAAAAAATGCTAAGTCCTCGAGCGAAAGCAGTGGAAGGAATCCTCCCTTGTTTGTTGTAAAATAAATCGGTCCGGGGGGCCTGGGGGGCTCAGTTGGCTGAGCGTCCGACATCGGCTCAGGTCATGATATCACGGACTGTGGGTTCGAGCCCTGCGTCGGGCTCTGAGCTGTCAGCTCAGAGCTTGGAGCCTGCTTCGGATTCTGTGTCTCCCTCTCTCTCTGCCCCTCCCCTGCCTGCCCTCTGTCTCTCTAAATAAATAAATAAATAAATGAATAAATAGACAAACATCACCAAAAAAAGAAACAATCACAACCCAGCTAGAACCAGTCATCCCTGGTAGTCACGGAGAATGTGGACAAGCCTAAGGCTGCATCTTCTAATGAGAAGCATCAGATGTCTATACTGCAGGGAACAAAGACTTCACTAAATTAGCGAGCCAATGGTATTTTTTTTTTTTTACAGAAATAGAAAAAAAATTCTAAAATTCATATCGAACCCCTCCACACACACAAATAGCCAAATCAATCTTGAGAAAGTAGAACAAAGGCATTACACTCCTTGATATCAACATATAATACAAAGCTACAGTAATCAAACAGCACGGTACCGTGTAAAGGCAGACCTATAAACCAATGGAACAGAATAGAGAGCCCAGGAACAAATCCACACATATACCATCACCTGATCTTCAACAAGAGTGAAAAAAAACACACATGAGGAAAGGATAATCTCGTCTACAAACGGTGCTGGGAAAACTGAAAATTCACATGCAAAAGAATGAAATTGGCCCTTCTATTACATCGTACACAAAAATCAACTCATACTGATTCAGGACTCTAATGCAAGAGCTGAAACTCAAAAACTCCTAGAAGAAAACATAACGGGAAAACTTCATGACATTGATCTTGGCAACAATTCCATGGATGTGGCACCAGAAGCACAGGCAACAGAAACAAAAATAAACATATGGGACCACAACATATAAAAAGTTTCTCACAACAAGAGAAATAATCAACAGAATGAAAAGACAACCTACCAAATGGTGAAAAAAAATATCTGCAAGCCACATATTTGATAAGGAGCTAATCTCCAAAGTATACAAAGAATTTCTATAATTCATGGGGTACCTGGCTGGCTCAGTCAGTAGAGCATGTGACTCTTGATCTGAGGGTCACGAGTTCAAGCCCCACAGTGAGCATGGAGCCTACCTTAAAAGATGAAAAAAAAAAAAAAGACTTTCTATAACTCAATAGTGAACAAATAACCTGATTAAAAATGGGCTAAGGACTCAAATAGACACTTCTCAAAAGACATAAAAAAGGTCAATAGATACATGAAAAGGCATTCAACATCCATCATCATAAGGCAAATGGAAAGCAAAACCACACTGAGACATCACGTCACAACTGTCAGGGTAGCTATTATCAGAAATCAAGAGACAAGTGTCGTCAAGGGTGTAAGAAAAGGGTACCCTGGTACACTGTGGGTGGGGATGTAAACTGGCACAGTCACCATGGGAAACAGTATGGAGGTTCCTCACAAATTAAAAATAGAACTACCGTATGATCCAGCCATCTCGCTTGTGTGTGTATATCCAAAGGAACGAAAAGCACTATCTCACAGAGATATCTACAGTAACGTGCCCATTACAACATTATTCACAATAGTCAAGGTATGAAAATAATACAAGTGTCCATCTAGAGATGAATGGATAAAGAAAATGTCACACACACACACACACACACACACAGGAATAATATTCACCTTTAAAAAGAAGGAAATCCTGTCATTTGCAACAACACGGATAAACTCATTTATCTTTTTTAATGTTTTTAATGTTTACTTATTTTGGAGAGAGAGAGTGAGTGGGGGAGTGGCAGAGAGAGACAGAGACACAGCATCAGAAGCAAGCTCCAGGCTCTGAGCTGTCAGCACAGAGTCCGACGCGGGGCTCGAACCCACGAACCGCGAGATTAGGACCTGAGCCGAAGTCGGACGCTTAACCGATGGAGTCACCCAGGCACTACCATGATCTCATTTATATGGGGGAATCTAACACAGTCGAAGTCATAAGAGCACAGAGTAGAATGGTGGTGGCCAGGGGCTGGGGGAGGGGAAATGGGGAGTTGCTCATCAACAGGCATAAAGTTTCAGTTAAGCAAGATGAGTAAGTTCTGGAGATCTGTTACACAACATTGTACCCAAAGTCAGTAGGAATATACTATACATTTAAGAATTTGTCAAGTGGGGGAACTGCCTGGGTGTCCCGGTCAGTTAAGTGTCCAACTCTTGATCTCAGGGTCGTGAGTTCAAGCCCCACATTGAGCTCCACGCTGGGCACGGAGCCTACTTAAAAAATTTTTTTTGTCAAGAGGGTAGATCTCATGTTAAGCGTTCTTACTACAATAAAATAAAATTTAAAAAAGAAAGAAAGTAGATTAGAGGTTTCCAGGCATTGCAAGGATGAGGGGAAGGGAATGACTGCTAATGTGTGTGGGGTTTCTTTTTGGAATGATCAAAATGTTCTGGAACTAGTGGTGACTGTTGCACACTCTAGTGAATATGCTAAAAACCATGGAATTGTACCCATTAAATGTGTAAAATTTTATATGTGAATATCTTCATAAAAATTTTTTTCAACTACAAGATATCGATTTCTGTTTATCAAATGACTGGAGATTCAAAAGGTTTTTTTTTTTTAAATTTTTTTCTTTTTTGAGAGAGAAAGAGGGAAAGACAGAGATTGAGCCAGGGAGGGCCAGAGAGAAAGGGAGACACAGAATCCGAAGACAGGCTCCAGGCTCCGAGCTGTCAGCACAGAGCCCGACGTGGGGCTGGAACCCACGAAACGCGAGATCATGACGTGAGCTGAAGTCGCACACTTAACCGATTGAGCCACCCAGGCGCCCCATTAATGTTTATTTATTTTTGAGAGAGCACAAGCAGGGGAGGGGCAGAGGGAGAGGGGGACAGAGGATCTGTAGTGTGGGGCTCGAACTCACGAACCGCGAGATCATGACCTGAGCTGAGGTCAGCCGCTCAACGGACTGAGCCACCCAGGTGCCCCAAGACAGGCACTTTCACATCTTGCAAGTGGGAGTACGAACTGGTGCAACCATTACAGACAGCATTTTAACACCATCGAAAGTATGAGTAGCCCGGCAATTCTACTTTTAGGAATTTATCTTTCAAGTATATCCCACTTAGGCAAAATGACATATGTACAATATCCATTACAACAGTTTCGTAAAAACAAAATGTTATTGACAGCTTAAATGCCCGTCCATAGGAAACAGGTGAAAGAAATAAATTATGGCCCGTGCATGTGGTATAATATAATGCAGTGATAAAAAGCACGAGGAAGCTCTCCATATACCAAAACAATAAATTCTGCAATATATTGTGAAGAGAAAAAAGCAACATGCAGAACAGCATGGATAGCATGCTCCACTTTGTGTACAAAGAGGGAGGGAGAATATACACATATATGCATATGTATGGTGTGTGTGTGTGTGTGTGTGTGTGTGTGTGTGTGTGTGTAATTTTCCTTGTAGATACATAAAACATCTCTGTGGATATTTATTGAATGGCAGGGGTCAGCAGTGGGAAGATGTTTCGCTGTATAGCCTTTCTGTTTTTGCAATATTGAACTATGTGAAGAATTACCTATTAAAACTGTTTTTTAAGTTTATTTATTTATTTTGAGAGAGCTCGAGAGAGAGCACAAGTGGGGGAGGGGCAAAGAGAAACGGAGAGAGATGGTCCCAAGCAGGCTCGGCGCCCCCAATCCAGAGTCCGATGCAAGGCTCAATCCCACAACCCTGGGATCATGACCTGAGCTGAAATCAAGAGTCGGACGCTCAACCGACTGAGCTACCCAGGCACCCCTTAAAACTATTTTAAAGTGAAAAGTAATAATTAGCTACAAATTATAAAATAAAAAACACTATAAAGCCAAAAGAACCCACTGAGAGTCCTAGCTTAGCATACCTCGCTCCCACCTCTACCAACGCGAACTACCTAGTTTCTGAAATTGGATCATTGTAAGGTGGATTTTCCCACATGGGGCTAGCCTATACCCTCTCTGGTCTCAGGTCAAGCAGACCAACTGAGGTTCCATTATTTCACTAATGTGTACAGAACAGTCTTACCATCACTTATAGTAATGTTAGCGAGATCCACAATCTTATCAGGAAGTCCTTGAAGCAGTTTGCACTGTTTTAACTTCGGTTTTTCCCACTGAGATTTGCCAGTGTCCATGTTGATTGAGCTGAGAAAGAGAGGAGAGAGGGACAAAGAGCTTTCTCGTTGGACGATGAGGCCAGAATAGTCTTAAAGCAAACAAAGAAGGAACACGGTGGATCTTTGGCATGCCTCTTCCTTTTGCCCACTCCCACTCACAAACACTGGGCTCTCCTGGCTGAGATAGCAAAGGCAGGAGCCCAGTGTTTGTAAAGTGAAGAAAACTTTGTTCTTGGGGAACAAGCGAATCTAGGGTCCCCACGCAGGAGGTATAAAAAGGCAAGAGAGTCTGAGATGAAGCATGGCAATGTCCAGCAGAGCAAGAGCCGGGGCACAGATTTTTGCCCCTCTGGACGTGGCTCCTTACCCTCACTTTCCTTTCTTACCCCCATTTTAAAAGGAAATTCATTTTAGAGTCTGTCCCCGTGTCAGCGTATCATTCCCCAAAGGCAATTGGTATGGCACCCTCTGCCGCTCTTTGCCCCCACCGTCCACCCTCCCGTATTCAATACAGTTCATTTCAAATGAGCTGACACATTTATTGAGCACCCACTGTGTTCTCGGGCCTCTGATAGTGCAGACAAACACAGCAGGGTCTGGTCCCGGCAGGAGCGTGTTGTAACTTGGTGGTTTGAGTCTGTAAATGTAACTATGTTTAGGAGGCAAGTTGTGAGACGAAAAACTGTATCAACAAAACGGACTCTATCAAAACCACCAAGCGAGGAGAGCTTATCTGCAAGCTCTGAGCTGAGCTGGATGCTAAAAGGACAGACATGGAGGAGGGCCCCCCTGCCCCGAAGCAGAGCAAATAGTACAAGCAGAGAAAGAGACCCGAGGAGGCACCCACCCGAGTCCACAGTGGCAAATGGCCCTCCTTGGCTGGAATGCATGGTAAAAAAAAAGGGGGAGCCCACAGGTCTTGAGTACTGTCTTTAAGAGCTCAGACTTAATACCCGAGGCAATGTGGAACCAGAGCAGGGGAAGGCAAGGGGACTGTTTTAATAGTAGCTGAGGGACAATGGTAAGGACCTGCACGGGGGTCGTGGTGGTGGAGTCCGAAAGCAAAGGCTTCATGTGAGCTCTGATTGTGATCACAAAACCAGCATGATTTGATAACCTGATTAGATGTATAAAGAGAGTAGGACCCAGTCTAAGATGTTGCCTTCCAAAAAAAAGCTTTTAAGCCTCTGTCAAACCCTGCTGCCCTTCTGGGCTGCCTACTTAAGTTAATGGCATAAACCATTAACAGCAGAGAGTCAGAGAAGAGGGGCTGATGATGTAAAGAAGGAAAATGATAAGGCAACAATAGGAGGGTGATTTAGTAAATTATTATGGCCCATCAACGAGGTAGCTTCGGAGGCAATTTTTCGAAATGGTCATTAAGAAGAATGTAAACCACAGAAAATGTTTGATCAACTATTGAGTGAAAAGGTAAATCACATTGCTGATAGGAGGGTGGTGATTGCCACTACAAAAAAAGCTACATAAAACTTAAAGGCACACCGGGAACAGCGAGATGAAAAAACACACCAGCCTAAAAAACAGCTGTGTTCCAATGGTGGGATTATGGGTGATGTTTTCCCTTTTGTCTTCTTGAACATTCTTTTGGAACGTGATTATGTTGCACACGCGTGCTTAAGTAGGTCCGAAGGGTAAAAGAAGGCAAGACAAGGGTAGAGGGGGAGGGAGGGAGCCTGCTCAGAAGCGTGGCCCCAGTTAAGGGGACCTTTGAGTATCTGAACTGGCAGTTAGAACTTGGCCAATACATACCAGACTCTAGTGGCGTTTCCATCCCTATTCTTTATGCATCTAGTTTGGGCTGTCTCAGTAGGGTTGGTTAAGAGCCACTTATAGGTCCCTTTGTATTTAGAGACTGTTTCTTGGGCTTTGCACCTTCCAGGCTCTACAGAGAAAATGTATGCACATTTTAAAGGGCAAAAGGCACTTAGAAGAATCATGAACAGCCATTATGACCCATCATTATTATCCTGCCTGTAAACACCAGCAAATAAAAGAGGAAACTTTTTCTACCAGGCCCTTTAAAGCAGGCTTCACGGAAAATATGTGAACTGCAGCCCTTTCTTAAATTAAGCCTCCCAGCAAAACCTCACATTTAGTCCTTTTCATTAAAAGCACAAATTGACAGGACAGCTTTTTGCCTTGGTGTTTAAAAGTGTTACATTTGCATTGACTAATAGTTCAAGCCACCCACACAAAAACCAAAAGCCCTCACCTGCCGGTTGCCCTCCTTCAGAGGTACCCACTGTCAATGATGGGAGACTAAAGGCTGACTTCTCCTTCTGGATGCTTCCTCCCTTCTTCAGGGGTTCTGGGGTGGATTTGGTTTTAGTCAACTCCACGTACCGACCGTCGCCAGTATTAGACACGGGAGCCCTGCTCTGATGTCGATGCGGAAGGCAAGGTTTTGCTGCCAAGTGTGGTCACATTAAGGGAGAAGTGACCCAGGCTAAGTGTGCGTGGTCAGTCCCCTGTTTTCACTCACCACCCACTGGGCTCATGACCCTGGTTCCAGAAATCTTCCCCCTCGTGTGTTGACAGAATGGTCCGGCCATCCCAGTCTCCTGTAAGCTCTGCCTGTGGCTTCTACCCTTCTCTGCCTGCCACTCATCTGTCACTTGGGACCACAGCCCACCCTCTGCTACCTGATTAGTTTGTCGCCGAGGATTGTGTGTTCTAACGCGGATGTGTGGTATCCGGGTTAGCCCGCAATCTATTTTGCCGCAGTCTATTGGGGAAAAGTAAGAGAGCTATAGCAGCAATGGCAGGGAGTAAGGGAAGAAATGCCCATGAGAGAAAGGCCCGGCTATTCCCAGATCACTTTCCAAGATGAACAGCCTGGCTAGATCAATCAATAAATCAGCAAGCATCTATCGGGCAGCTCTAGTGTGGGACGAGGAAGCTCCCCCACCCTCCGGGTATTTATGCAAGAAAGACAATTCTCCCGCTCCGTTGATGGACGGGCCACTGCTGATGTCCAGAGCTGACCAATGGTCTCCGGTAGTCCCCCTGTATTGTTTATAAGCTCTTACAGGCAGAAAGGTTCTCAGGGTGAGTGAGCACTGTGGATGAGGAAAGGGAAGTGAAGACAACTCCTCTCCCCTTCAGAACTCAGGACGTCTTCCTATGCATGCATTATGAGCTTTATAATAAGGGGAATGAGAGGAAAGTGGCTGATGGGCATCGAGGAGGGCACCTGTTGGGATGAGCACTGGGTGTTGTGTAGAAACCAAGTGGACAATAAATTATATTATAATATATATATATATATATATATATAGGGAATATAATAAGGGGAATGGATGCATATGGAATACCCCCCACCCCAAATTACCTAGTTTTTCCACTGCAATGTGTTCCGATGCAACTAACAACATCAGTTGACCTTGCGTGAAGTTTCCATGTGTGAGGTTGCCATGTATTTTCCTTTCGATCCTGCTAATCAATTCGCTGGCTGCTAAAGAAGAGTTGGCTTTTAGGATGACCTGACAAACACAGCTAAAAAGCAGAGACAAAAGAACAATATCGCAGTTATGTCAACAGGGTACAACTTGGCCCGCGGCGCTGAGATTTTACACAGGTGGTTTAATTGAGAGCCCATAAACACCCAACATTTTACGTCAAGTGGCAAGCCTTAAGACATAATGGAAGACGGCCCATCGAAATCTTCTGATAAATTTTCTCGTCTGCCAAATAAACAACTCAAAGCCCATTTGCGAAAGAACAGTCGGAAACATTCGCATTCTATCAAAATCAACTAGCCACGCGTTCGCTGGGAGTTTGTGCTAATTAATAGAGAAGATGGAGTACTCAGGATTTATTACTCGAGAGAAAACCTTTTATCCTTCTGGTCTCCAATTTATCCATCATTACTGCAATGAGGCAAATGGCACACGCTCAATTAGTCTGTAAAGAGGTGTTCTGCGGAAGGCCTATTTCTGCAATAGTAATAATGGAGATAATGATAATGATAGTAGCTACCATTTGTAGCACTCTTGCTCCCCTAGTCTTGCTACTCATGTTATCTTCACAACAGCCTCACGAATAGTGCTATTATTAGCCCCATTCCACAGATGAGGGAACTGAGACTTTAGCCAAGGTCGCAAATACCTAGTATGTTCCACTTCCCTGCTGAGTATTCTGTGGACTTTTCTTGACGGCAACAAACGCTTTATTCCCCCATCTCCAAATTATGACCACTTTGGACCCCATTTTCTTTTCACTACAAAGAGGCAGCAGGCTCTTTGCTAGGCTGTGCCATGACCAACCGAAACAACTTATTTCATGAAGGCAAGAGCCCAATTACAGCATCTGTAAAATAACCACCGGGTACTTTGATCTCCTTCTGACAACTCTGACCCTCTGGGGCTGCAAATACAGAATTAAATGGAAGGAAAATCAGAACTAAATGTACCAGCCATGAATAAACTCAGTTCTTACCTGTATGGTACATAGGAAATTGTAGCCATTCCTTGCCCTTCCCTCTGTTTCAAAATAATGCAAAAGAAAAGTACATTGTCTCCGAAATCTTTAAACAAATGTTACAATTGAGCACAGGGCTTATTGACAACAGCAATCATCATTATGCTTTACATTATGTAACCCATTGCCATTTTCAAATCAGTCTCAAAAAAGTCAATGCATCTAGTCCTCATATCATCCCTGTGGTGTGGACAACGCAGGGACAGTCACCCCATTTTCTAGATGAGAAAGCTAGGTCTCAGAGAAGGTAAGTGATCTGCCCAGTGTCACACAGCTGACGAATCACAGCACTGGGAGCAGAAGCTGAGACTTCCGGATCTAGATCCTGACATGGTGATGACAAGAGTAAACACTACCAAGCATTTACTATGTCCTGTGCTAAGCACTTTACATGAATCATCCCATTCCACCTTCACAACATCCCTGTGGGGAATGGTAGTATGGTTATCCCCATTTTACAGATGAGGAAACTGAGGCACAGAGCGTTCAATTAGGTTGTCCAAGGTCTCCCATTCAGGAAGTGCAAGATCAGGGGTTCTAACCCAGGCAGCCTACTCTGGGGACCACAGTGTCGCCAAAAGGCTTTTTACACCTATTATTTGAGAGCAATTTCACTTAGGTTATGTTATCTATTAAATTAAAAAATTCAGACTCTGCTCTTTACAGAAAGTATTTTAAACGATGACAGATAGGAGGCCCCGGGGTGGCTCAGTCAGTTAAGTGTCTTTTTTTTTTAAGTATTTCTTTTTTTTTTTTCCAGTGTATGTATTTATTTTGAGAGAGAAAGCACAAGTCAGGGAGGGGCAGAGAGAGAGGAGAGACAGAGAATCCCAAACAGGCTCCACATTGTCAGCGCGGAGCCTGATGCTGGGCTGGAACCCACGAACCGTGAGATCATGATCTGAGCCAAAGTCAGATGCTTAACCAGCTGAGCCACCCAGGTGCCCCAAGCATCCAACTCTTGATTTCAGCTCAGGTCATGACCTCACGGTTTCATGATCTCAAGGTTCGAGCCCCGCATCAGACTCTGCACTGACGACACAGAGCCTGCTTGGGGTTCTCTCTCTCCCTCTCTGTCTGCTCTTCTCCGTTCACTCGTGTGCTTGCTCTCTCTCTCTCTCTCTTTCTCAAAAATAAACAATTTTTAAGTTTAAAAAATAAATGACGGCAGATCATTTGGATGGCACTGCAGGCTTGATTTTATTTTGTATAAGCAAAATATTTCTCTCATGTTTAAGAACCTTACAAGCTGCACTGCGTACTAATCCTTTTGGAGTCTGACGTGGTAAAATTTTGAGGCACTGGGATAAGTACTGAGAATCGGGGCAAGGAGGATGGGAGGTAGTTTTGTCACACTCTGACTTCAAACCTATACACATAAAAGGCAGATTTATTATTTACAATCCCCAAGTCCTTCCATGCTCCCATAGCCCACACAAAAGGTACCTCAAAAAAACCGCCCCACAGAGAGTTCAGAAAAGCAGAGGATGGTCTTCCTACTGGGTCGCTGTGCAGATGCCAAAGAAAGTAACGTAATTTGACCCTCAACGGCCATAATTGAGCTTTGCTTGACATACACTTGGGTAGAAGCACTAATTTACTTATATCTACTCAGGTACAGGATGAGTTACAAGTCATTTTGAAAAATTACTTACTGCAGTTTGATCCATGGTTATTTCTCCCTCAGAAGTGTCTCTGTATCAAAAGCATAAATATATATATATACATATATATACACACACACACACACACACACACACACACACACACACACACGTAAATGAAATATAGTGTCCAATACATGAGGACTCAAGTTCAGGAGAAAGACAACTGTGAGGCAGAACAGTAGAATCTCCCAGCTTGGAATTCAAACACTAGGGATCTAAGGAGACACTTCAAAAGACCTTGGTCATTATCTGAGTACCCAAATGGTGGTAAGTCTTTGAGCAACCCCACTCCCAGGAATCTGTCCCATAACAGTACCAACAAGGGCGCATACAGATATACGTACAAGAGTGGAAATAACTGAAATGTCCATCACTAGGTAATCGGATAAATACACCATTGCACACCCATGCAAAAGGATCCCATGCAGTCATTAAAAGGAAGAAGCTAAGTCTGTATGTGTTGGCCCGCTAAGATGTACATGATGTATTTTGAAGAAAAGGGGGTGCCTGGGTGGCGTAGTCGGTTAAGCGTCCGACTTCAGCCAGGTCACGATCTCGCGGTCTGTGAGTTCGAGCCCCGCGTCGGGCTCTGGGCTGATGGCTCAGAGCCTGGAGCTGGTTTCCGATGCTGTGTCTCCCTCTCTCTCTGCCCCTCCCCCATTCATGCTCTGTCTCTCTCTGTCCCAAAAATAAATAAACGTTGAAAAAAAATTTTTTTTGAAGCAAGAAAAGAAAGGTGTAAAACAGCACGTAGAGTAGGATCCCGTCCTCTTAATAAACGTATGGCCCCAAATCTAGGAGTATGTAGAAAATAAGCTGCAAACCAGATATTGGAGAGGGTGGGGAAAGGCGGGTTTTCTCTTTGATCTCGGCTCCTCGATACTTCTCAGCACCTGCCCATTGCACTGTCATCACCTCCCCAAATCTGCACCCCAGGCAAGTCTTAGACTAGTCAGCACTCCTCGCCTTACACATTTCAGGTTCCCTTTGGAATATTCTACCTCCTGAAAGTGCGTTAATCAGAAAATAAAGAGTCTTATAAATCTTCACGCATTGGCCATCCCTAGCCTTTCATCCCTCTAAGGCATGATTTTTCCCCTCAAAGTCACAGAGCATTTTAAAGCCAAAAGGGACATTAAAGGCAACTGAATCTAATTCCACTGTTTCCCTGATTCATATTCCTCTGTTTTGTTCTCCCATTGGCTTTACACCCTACAGTGATAATACACATTTTTCTCGTATTCCAAAGAGAACCTACACTCAGAAGGGAAGATGTAACTCAAAATGCCAACCCTAAATCTCAGACGGAAAAAAACAAAATGAAATCCGCCCTCCCCTGCCCCCGGGATAGGAACATACCCAGAATGCCCCCAAACTGCCTTCGACCCACAATAGATGATACCCCCATACCTGCTTTTAATTTGAATGGCCAGATTAGCAACAGCAAATTCACTGTCCTGAAATATAGAATTCAACTGTAAGAGACAAAACAGATCGATTTTAGTATTCCCACTCCTCTATCAAGCCAGGGAAGTTACCTGAGACAATGTCATCATTAAGCTGCATTTATTATTCCAGTGAGATCAACATTTCCATCTGCTCTACTCAGTTCTTCAATTTACATTTTACCTACTGCCAGGGGCTGAACAGCGTCCCCTCCAATCGATAGGTTGAAGTCCTAACTCCCTCATGTGACTATATTTGGGTGTAGGCCCTTTAAGGAGGCAATGAAGGCTCAAAATAGTCAGAAGGTGGAGCCTTAATCTGGTAGGACTGGCAGTCCCTGGAAGAAGAGAGACACCAGATATGTGTGTGTGCGTGTGTGTGTATGTGTGTGTGTGTGTGTGTCTCTCTCTCTCTCTCTCTCTCTCTCTCTCTCTCTCTGTACCTGCCGCGCGCGTGCGCGTGTGTGCGTCGTGTGCGCATGTGTGTGTGCGCGCGCACACGCGGAAAAGGCTATGGGAGGAAACAGTGAGAAGGTGGCCCTCTGGAAGCCAAGGAGAGAGTCCTCTGAAGAAACCCACCCTCCAGGCGCCTTGATCTTGGACTTCCAGCCTTCGGAACTGTGAGAGAAGAAATGTCTGTGGTGTAAGCCCCCCAGTGCCTTGTATTTTGTTATGGCGGCCCTAAGAGACAAATACACGCGCCCATTTTCAAGCACTTACAATCATGCTATACACACAGCAAAAGAAATGCTGATGGGGAAAGAGAGGAAACAGACACGATCATTTACTGTTGGTGGGGTGCAAATGGATATCGCCTGTCTGGGAGGCCACCTAGCTTTATGTTAGAATGTGAAATGTGGGGCCCAAGCGGGGCTGAGTCGGTTAACCGACTCTTGATTTTCACTCAGGTCATGACCTGACCGTTTGTGAGTTGCAGGCCTGCATCGAGCTCTGTGCTGTCAGTACCGGGCCTGCTTGGGATTCTATCTCTCTTCCTCTCCTACTTGTGTGCTCTCTCTCCCTCACTCTGCTTCTCCCCCACTTCTAAGCTCTCTCTCTCTCTCCCTGTCTCGGAATAAATAAATAAACTTATTTTTTTTAAATGTTCAATGTTCATGTGCTTTGATCCAGCAATTCCAGCTCTGGGAATTTATCCTCTAGAAAACCTCAAGTGCCCCCCAAATTTATTGCAAGGGCATATCGTCAGCATTGTTTCCAAATAGAGAAAAAAATAAAAGTGACCTAAATGTCCACCGCTGGGTGTCTGAATTAAAAAAAAAAAATACTATATTACAACCATCCAGTGAAATCCTTCGTATCTGTTAAAGTATATGAGGTAGATGTATATTTGCAATATGAATATGCTCAAAGATATATGGTTAAGTGAGAAAAAGCAAGCTGCAGAATAGGATAATTGTATGATTCCAATTATTTTTGTAAAAGAACAGACATGCATCAGTGTTACCACGGGTATAGGGGGAAAAAAAACAAACCTCAATGAATATACCCCAGACTGTTAAGAGGATTCAATACAAGCAGTATGAGGGAAGACATTTACTTTCTGGGGCTCAGATTTCAGTCTCTGGATTTTTTTTTTTTATACAGAGAGAATGTATTACTTTTATTTTCAGAAAAAAAATGTGAGGATAAAGAAAACATCGTGTAGGAGAGAAAAAATAAAACTGCAGAAAATAAACATATTTAAATACAATAGCATAGGCTTTGTTATCGCTGCCTCCCCACTTTCTCCAATTAGGAAAATTTGGCAGAAGCCCAGAATTTGTGTCGGCGAAGGGAAAGTTCTAAACAAATTAAAATAATGACATCCCATAAAAGCTTTCAGCATTGACACCGTACGTCCTTACGGTGTTACTCACACAGTAGATAAATTTGCAGCAAAAAATCAAAACCAATTAGCTGTGAAATGTATTATGGGTAGAAAGAAGTTAAAGCCTACTTTTAAGCTACTCCGTCCATCATGTATATATGCACATACATATATTCACAGATTTTATATGTACCATAAATATTTAAAAGATTATTTTACCCAATTTTCTGCAAATTCTTTGACAACACTGATAACCGGGATCCTTGGGTCTTCATCAAAGACAGAGAAACTCATTTCAATATTGTAGAAGGAGACTGTAATTAAAAACGAGATTAATTTCATTCATTTAGCTCAAGAAATTTAACTTCCATAAATTTGGTCAACATTGCTTGTCATTTTAGAGAGACCAACAATGAAGTCTCGTTCTTAAATTTTGCTTAATTTAACTCCAAGGTCAAGAGCCAACACTTGGGCTCCATATCCAAAAGCAAAACAGATGTACCATCACATTTTTGTTTTAATTATTTCGGCAGTTTCCTGATGGCTACACAGTTGATGGACACTCTGCAAATCCTCCAAATCCTCAATTTTCTGTAGCCAACACATTTCCAGTCCATTTAATGGTCAAGCTGAACATTATCTCACAAGATCATTTGCACTGAGAAAATATTTATTTCTCCCTATACTTTTCTTTCTACTTCAGATTTGTCTCTGTATCCCTCTTTCTCTTGTCTGTCCTTTCAAATTTCAATTTTTGAGTGTTAAAAGTTGAAGGGACATCCCAGATTTGCATGATATGGAAGCCAAATACTCCCTGGCCATAGATAAACATTCCAAGCCAGCTGGAGGTGGAGACTGGAGAAGCTGAGGCCTATATAAGAGGAATTTAAAAAGGCAGGCTAGAATATCTCCTGGAATTGGATGGTTTGCAGTCATCATGTCAGACCTAAGGCCATATAATTCTACACTGGGAGAAGGTGAAGTTCCTGATGATATTCACATTGGCAGAGACAGAGTATCAGGAACAGAAAGGATGGAAAGCATGCTTAGAGAGGTCATACCGAATGAAAAGATACATTTGCACTATATTTCAATAAAGCAAAGATAAGCAAGATGGCTAGAGAATTCTGTTTGGACAAGGTACCACTGTACCCACTGCCTTTTTATAGTAATTTCCACACCCAGTGTGGGGTTCGAACTCACAACCCCGAGATCAAGAGTCACATGCTCCACTGACCGAGCCAGCCAGCTGCCCCCTGCACCCACTGTCTGAAGGAGAGCAGAAACACCTGTACCCTTCTTTATCCTTTTCTGCCTTCAGGGAATGGCCACCTTAGAGGACACATGACCCACTGCCCATGTATTCTGTCAGTGATACGCTGCACATATTCTAGAACAGACCTGTGGACTCAGTGGCAATAAGTGAAGTCGAGGTTTCCATAGACCTAAAAGAAGGTGTGGAGTCTAGCCAGATTGTCTCAGGAGAGGAAGAGAGTAGTGAAGGCACAGTTGCTGGAGGAAGGGGTGTTACTCCCGTGGATGTGAGTGGAAGTGAGCCTCCAGTAGTAGAGGATGCTGATACAGCTGGGATTCTGCTCCGGGCAGATGTCACGGCGTGGCTGGGCAGAAGCATGGAACTAATAGATTGGCTGTGGTCAGTTGCGGGAGGTGAGCTACTCATTTTGCTAGAGGGTAGAGGTTGAGACACAGTCTTGGAGTTGGCAGTCGCAGTGGTTCTGGAAGATGCCTCAGGGGATTTGGAAACGTATAGGCTGTTATCTGTGAGTTTAACAGACACAGGGAGAGAAGTTGGGAAGCCAGTGCTGATGCTGCCCACTGCAGGTGTAGGGGTGGTTTCGGGGAGTGCGGTGCGTACAGTAGCAAAGGATGGTGTTGTAAAGTTAGTGAACGAGCGTGTCGACGTCCTGTCAGAAGTCAGAGATGTGGACTCTGACAGCTTTACTGTAGAAGAAGTTACAATGTGAGGAGTACTGGATACAGTTGACAGTGGAGAACCCGAAGGGAGAGTGGATAAAATCCAAGCCAGCGTGGGTGAACTAGGAGCCTTTGAAAGTATGGATCCTGAAGTAGCACCAGAATGATTCGATGGGAGTGTGGTCCCAAGAGTTACGGATGTCGCTGTTTTCTCAAACGTGTGCTTAGTATCAGCCAAAGTGATAGGGATAGATCTTGAAGATATTGATGAAGGGCTGTCAGACATCCCCAAGGTGGGAAGAAATCCTGACGTGGAAATTGATGGCTTTGCCATAACATCTCCAGATACAAGACCAGTCTGAGGGGCTGCGAATGTTGATAAAGACCCAGGAACAAGGTATGGAATCTCCGTTTCCGTCTTATGGGGTGTAGGTACATGAGTACTGGTAAAAATTGGAAATTGAGAACCTTTAGCTGTGGGTGTGTTCCAGGAAGTCATAAGCAGAGGTTGGGTGTTACTAGGTGTGGTTCTTGTTCCCAGAACTGGAAATTCAACCATTTGGGATGTAAGAGGAAGAACAGTCTTTGGAGTGGAGAATTTGGCTTCCATACGATGAGGTGAAAAAAGAAGTGATGTCAAAGAGGGTGGAGTTGCAATGGATGGAGTCCACGGAGAGTACGAAACAGGGGTCTTCACAGATCTGGCACCTTTTGTTGGTTCAGCTGTTGAAGTATTTTCTGACCAGGAAGTCTTCTTTTCTGTATTGGAAGAAAGGTAAGTGGTGGCTTTGACCCTTTTTGTGTATCCAGGAGTGCTCTTAAAGCTAGTCAAAGACGGGGGCACCTGAATACTCGAGGAAGTATGGGGATGACCTGATGGAGTAGATGAAAACACACTTTCCAGGGCATCAGTTCCAGAAGAAGTATTTGTGAGGGCTGTTACTGTACTACTGCTTACAGGAGACAGGGAGTCCTTGGTAGTCCCAGGTAATATGCCCAGAGTTGCCGTCTCATTTTGTGATGACTGATGGGTTGTTGCTAGAAAGGGTGAAAATGTGGTCTTTGGAATGGAAGAAATCGCTTCCGTGTTCCTAGAACTGAGTAGAGAGGAGGCAGTGGTGCCTACAGATGGAGGTGCTATCCCCGCCATGATAGTGGTTGGGATGGTTTTCACGGAGGGAAAAGTTGACTCTGTCGGAGAGGAAGAGGATGTAGGTGTGATCCTGGAGGACACCTCTGTCACTTCTGAAGCAATGAAAGCAGAGGAAAACAGCGTGCTTTTTGAAGCAGGCCTAGGTGTGACATCCAGTGTAGATGCCGGTACGGTCATAGTAGTCCTAGGGGTATTTGAAGACAATAATGAAGAGAATGACCCAGCTGCTGCGGAAGTGTCAAAAGAGGCAGCTGGAGGTGAGAAAGCAGAGCCACTCACTGACATTGAGGACATCTCAGACATAGGCGCAGAAGTGGCTGTGGAGGGACTTTTCGGGCAATCTGGGTGTGTTGTTTTAGAAGAGTTAGTTACTAGTGTTGCAGGAGTTTCAGAAACTCTTTTGGAGGCAAAGGCAGTGACGCCAACTGGCAGTGAGGACATCCGGTAGGTAGGAATGGACGTTGCCATAGAGGTTTTCCCAAGAAGTACCGTTGGTACATTTGGAGCAGAAAGGGCTGTAGTGACCCCATCAGTAGAGACGAGTGTAAAAGTGGCACCAGATGGTCCAGTTGTAGAAAGAGACAAGAACTCAGGGGAGGTCTGTGTGCTTTCAGAAATGGGAGAGGCGCCTGAAGTCAGCTCCGTTTGAGTCTTAGGGGGAAGCAAGTTTGAAAGAGATGTGTTGATGTCTACAGGATTCGATACTCTGGTTGTCCTGGAAGTGACGGTAGACATTTCTGGAATGTGAGCATCTCCTGTGTGGCTTGAGAGAGAGGTAGATGTAGTCTGTATACTCCCAGAAGCGGGAGGTGAAGCTGAAATCCTGTCAGGTGGAGTTGCAAGTGGGAAGTCTGAAGGTGAACGTGTTTGATGGGTGGAAATTGCTGGGCTCTCAGCAGCTCTTGTATCTGTCATTTCCAAGGATGAAGTACTCTGGGAGTCTGAAATAAAAGGATTCTCCGCTGGGGACATTTCTGTCACCTCCATAGTTCTAGAGGTGTTTCCCAGGGATGTGGTCATCTGCTCTTTGTCAGAAGGCAAGGTAGAAACGTCAGTCACTAATGGGGTGGGGACCAGTGTGTTTCCAAGATGCGCTGAAGATTGAGAAATGTGATCATCTACTGAAGTACTAGCCTTATGGGCAGACGTGTCTGAGGACATGGTCTCGTCAACAACAGAGGTTTCTGTGGTGCTGGTCGCCAAGCTAACAACATCCCCACTACTGCTGAGAGTGTGCAGAAAGCTTAGAGCGTGGGTGGAAGTCTCCTCCACTTGAGATACAGGTCGGGTCGTCACTGGTGTAAACCGAGTTGAGATCACACGGGTGGAGGACACAACAGGAATGTTGTCAGAGACAGACTTAGAGCAGACAAGAGTGGGTGTAAATGGGGTTACTGTGTCGGCCGAGGTGAGGCGATGGGTGGTCTCAGCCTTAGTTGCCACGGGAGTAGGAGGTCTCCACGAGGGGACTGGACGTTCTGTCAGAGAGAGGACTGTCGCGGGTGTTTTACTGATGGAGATCACTGTGGCTTCTGAAGTGGTGTGAATCGAGCGTCTGTGTGTAGGCATGCCGTGGCTGGTTGCCGAAGCAGTCTGACCCAAAGGTGACACTGAAGCTGTGGTCGCAGGAGCTGATGGCACAGGGGTTGCTGAGGAATGGGTAGCTGTAGGCTGCGGAGGCAAGATGCCAGCAGGCAAGGACATAGCTGTCATGTCTGTAGGGAGAGTGGCAAAACTGGTCCCCAAAATCCTTCTGGTGGAAGCGCCCAAGGGTTCAGGGAATGTCTGTGCGCTCCCAGAAATGGGAGATGGGGTTGGATTCCCCTCAGGCGAAGCCTCTGAAGTCCCATGTGCTGTGTAGGTGTGGGTGGAATGAAAGATTTCTGTGGTTCCATCATATGAACTCTTAGGTGTGGTCTTCATCGATTTTGGAGAAAGCCAACTTCCTCTCACCTCAGTAGTTGCAGTTCCATTCTTCAATGGGATAGTCAACTTTTCTATACTGGGAAAAGGGGAAATGGCCACAGAAGCTGTTACCCTTTGTGCAGATTCATCCGTTGCTTCCGGCATTGTTGCAGAAGGAGAACGCTCAGTTGTCACTGCTATAGTTGATTTTCCCTCAAGACAAGGGGCAGTTGTTTCTTTCCTTGTCACAGTAGCCTCATATCTTTGTGTTTTTGCAGACTCTGCTACGGGGGCCGTTGTCCCTCCACATGCAGTCGTGCCACTTGTCTCTGTTAGGATGGTCTCAGAAGCGCTCTCCTCAGTAGAAAAATTTGGTTCAGTGTCAGCAACGGTAGATGCATCTACTGGGGGAGCAACTGTCTCCCTTGGCGTTGAAAGAACCTCACTCCCAGCTGCTGTAGACATAGGGGTAGTTTTTAGTAGGAAGGTGGTAAGTTTAAACTCAGGCAGTGTGGTTACAGATGCGGGTCTTGAAACTGTGGAGAAGTTAACAAACAACCACGCAACTGTCGAGTTGGATAGAGCTCTTGTGTATCTGTCTGTAGTACCATCAGCGGTAATAATAGCATTGGCGACAGGGGTAGCCTCACTTTCTGAGGGTGCTTCTGGTGGGATACCAATAGGACTAGTTGTGGACGAATGTTCTGCATTAGAAGCACTCCCATGGAATGCTAGCGTCAGCAGGGTCTGGTCTGGCCTGGAAGCCCAAGTGGCTTCACCGGTGGAGAGTAGTTGGGCACCATCATCAGTTATGGATGTGGGACCAGACTCATATGCCTTGACTGTGGAAGCTGATCTAGTAGAATTCAAAGAGGGCATGTTTCCACCATCTGTGGGTGTATTCTGGGTATGTGTCGGCCCAGGTGTTGTGGGGGGGAGCACAGTTTCAGCCACCGTGGTGGCAGGTGTGACTCCAGGAGTCGAGGCTGGATGTGTAGTCTCAGCGTCACTAACTGTCTGTACATCCTGAGCTCCGGTGAACGGAGAGGATGTCCTGAAAGAAAGGGCCATAGAAGAGGCCTTTTCTGGTATGAAAGTAGATATCGTATCCTCCATTCTGGGTGAAGAGACGTCCTGGAAATCTATAGATGTCAATTCTGCCTCAGCTGTTCTTAGCACAGGCATCATCTCAACGGGCCTCGTTGGGAGTGGTTTTGAATGAACTGTAGATGTTATTTCTGTGTCAGTTATTGCCAGTGTCGATGCTGTCTGATTTCTAGGAAATACAGAATGCACTGGAGCAACTGTGGAGATGAGCACAGACCCGGGTGGGAATGCGGATACAGTCCCAACATGAGTAGCTGTAGCCGAAGTCTGTTCCACCGTGGACCGAGGCACTGTTCCAGCATCTGTAGATGTAAGAAACTCCTGGCTAGCTGTGAAGATAGAAAGTGCCTCAATACCTGTGGATTTCTGCCTGGGCCAAGATGTTGTAGATATGGGTGTTGACTCAACAGATGAGAACACAGATGTCGTCTTCATAATGGCCGACTGAGATCCAGTCACTGAAGTTTTGGGTATAATTGAATCCTTGGTAAATCCAGATGTGTACGGAAAATTAGTAGCTGCAGTTTGAGGAAATGTCTCAGTAGCAATGGCTTCAGCCATTTTTGTTGTCCCGGTGCTCTCTGAAGATGGGGATTTAGTTATTTTCATGGAATTGGTGGTAGCGCCCGTGGAGGTACCCTTGGTAGGCAGAGTGATGGCTGCTGAAGTTGACAAACTGTCTGCCGTGAATCTAGCAGTCCCCGCTACGGATGTCTTTAATAATTTGGGGGCAGTCACTGTTTCCAGAAGTGGAGACGTTGTATTGGAATATGATACGGTTGCATAATCAGTTGCAAATACAGGCATGCTTTTAAACATCATTGTAGAAGAATGTACTGTCTCTTGCGGTTTTAGTCCAGTAACTTGGGATGGAGTTGTCACATCTATTTGTTGAGAAAGAGTTGTACTCATTTCTTGAGTTGTTATATTTTCATAAACAACTGAAAAATGAGAAAGCACGTGTTACTTTGGATTCAGCTTTGGAAGTCAGAGACAATTCTGTTAGAAAGAGCTCTATAATTTTTTCTTATATTTTTAAGAGGAGATAAACATCTGATATAATCAAACCACTTGACTACTTGGTTTTTCTTAAGATAATTTTCTACTTTCTAAAATCTCTATATTGTTCTCAAAATGCCCTGGTTAAGTAACAAGTAGAAGGACATCCATTTCATAGTGTCTCCATTAAAAATTGGAGGCACCGCTAAAGGAGGGATGAATGCTAGAGTCACGTACTGATTAAGAGGTTTAGCGCTGGGAAATGCACCAATTTCTTGAAAGACACAAGTGATCAAGACTCATTTAAGAAGAAATAGGTAACTTGAATAGTCCCGTATCTATCAAAGAAGTTGTACTGTGTAGTTAAAAGTCTTCCCAAAAGGAGGGACAGCTTTGGATTCAAATAGATGTAGTTTTTTTTTTTTTTTTTTAATTTTTTTTTTAAACATTTATTTATTTTTGGGACAGAGAGAGACAGAGCATGAACGGGGGAGGGGCAGAGAGAGAGGGAGACACAGAATCGGAAACAGGCTCCAGGCTCTGAGCCGTCAGCCCAGAGCCTGACGCGGGGCTCGAACTCCCGGACCGCGAGATCGTGACCTGGCTGAAGTCGGACGCTTAACCGACTGCGCCACCCAGGCGCCCCTCAAATAGATGTAGTTTTAAATCCTGGTGCCATCATTTTTCATTATGTAACCCTGAACTAATTGCCTAACCTCTCTGTGCTGCAATTTACTCCTCTCTGATGTGGAAAAATAACACCTACCTTATAAAATTGTTTTGAGAACTGAGCTAATGCATATAAAACACTTAGTATAGCACCTGGCACACGGTAAGTGCTCAAAAAGAAATTTAACTGCCATAAAGGAAAGTTTCAGACTTGGTCAAATTTCTATTACTCTTCTAAGCTGTATAGATTAAAGATATTTTGACCTGGAACCTCAAGCTTAAACTTCTTGAACATGCACTACACACACACACACACACACACACACACACACACACACACACACATAGCTGTCAATAATGTATGTACATATATATAATAAATTTGTATTATGTACATTCCAAGCATACACAAAAATAGAAATGTCAAAAGGATATGATAAAAATAAATAGAAATAGAAGCTTTATAATATCTTCTTCCTGCACTCTGATGTACTGTCTGTGTGCCCCCCTAGAATTGTGTACCTCACTTTGAAGACCACTGGGGCCTAGATCTTATCTCAATTCAAGTGAATTAAATTTAACAAGTATTATGAATGCTATTCTGGGTCGTGTGAGAAAGAAGTATATAGCTCTCACAGCATGATTCCTTCCCTCAAAGCACTCACACTTAGAAAAGTCTTATATTACTAAAATGTTTTTAGACAAAATATAACATTTTTAAACAAAACACTGAAAACAATAAAAAATAATAGTACACTGTATAATAAAGTGAACAATTTGGGGCGCCTGGGTGGCTCAGTCAGTTAAGTGTCCAACTCTTGATCTCAGCTCAGGTCTTGATCTTAGGGTCGTGAGTTCAAGTCCCGTGTTGGGTTTTGCACTGGGCGTGAAGTGTACTTTAAAAATAAATAAATAAGGTGTGCCTGGGTGGCTTAGTCGGTTAAAAATCCGACTTCAGCTCAGGTCATGATCTCACAGATTGTGAGTTGGAGCCCCGTGTCAGGCTGTGCTGACAGCTCGGAGCCTGGAGCCTGTTTCAGATCCTGTGTCTCCCTCTCTCTGTTCCTCCCCAACTCATGTTCTGTCTCTCTGCATCTCTCAAAAATAAATAAATGGGGGAAAAATTTTAGTAAATAAATAAATAAAGTGAACAATGGAATATAACCAGGTTCCAAATGTCTCTGAATTGCAGTGGGAGAGCAGTGCAGTGAGAGATCAACACAGGCTTCAAACTAATGAGGAAGCTTTCTTCTAGAAGATGTTGGCCTTTGAGGAATGATGGGGTGTGGGTAGAGAATCAATGGCACGTGGCAATGAATATGGAGGCAGCGGAAGATCAGTCTAGCTAGGAAGGAGTATGTTGGGTAGGGCTGGGAAAGAATGTCAGACTAGGATGTAACTTGAAGGGGAGGGTGGAGAAACAGGTAACAGAAGATAATGTAGCAGCTTCCACACACTCACTATGAGCCAAACACTGTACTAAATGCTATCCCATTTCTTTTTTAGTAGTTTTCTTGAGTTTATTTATTTTTCTTAGTAATCTCTACATCCAACGTGGGGCTCAAACTCATGACCCCGAGATCAAGAGTTGTGTGCTCTTCCAAATGAGCCAGCCAGGCACCCCATGCTATCTCGTTTAATACACCTAACAACCTTATAAGGTGGATATTACCATTACTCCCACTTTAGAGGCGAAGAAACAGAGTATTGGCAACCTTACACGAATTGCTCAAGTTCACAGTTCAGACCAAGGTCTGTCATCCATGCTCTTAAGCACTCCACCCTTGGAAAGGATGTAGATTCTTGAGTGAGGAGAATGAAATGAATAAAAGTAGTCTTTAAAGCAAATGACTTTCGTGGCAGTGTACAGGATGGGTAGGAACAGGAAGGCACTGAAAGCAAGGAGATTCTTTAGGAGGCTGGTAGGGTCCTATTCCTCACCTCACTCCCATCGACTCTGAGCCAACCCGACTATCCATCGCCTCCATACTTGCACTTGAGAGGTCAAGCACTGCTGGCCGTGGCCACACAAGGGGATGAATTAGTGTTTCTATAAATTCCTGATCACCAACCCCAAATAAGCCTCTCACACTGCCCAGCCACCCTACTATTTTCTCTGCTCAATTTTTGCTACTACTCTCTACAATAACTATTTGAAGCCTTCCTCATTACCAAACTCTGCCCCCTCGCCCCGTGTTTATTCCGTAACTGTGCCCCTTACTTCATAGGACGAAATAATTGAAGTGATCAGAAACTCAGCTGTGCTACTGTCTCAGTTATCCCTCACCGGCAGGTATGGCTCCTTTCCTTAAGGAGCCTTTCCTTCCTGATTTAAAACATATTCCAGTCTCTTGTAATACAAAATAAAAGCCCTACATCGGGGGCGCCTGGGTAGTTCAGTCGGTTAAGTGTTCGACTCTTGATTTCGGCTCAGGTCATGATCTCACAGTTCGTGGGATCGAGCCCCGCATCGGGCTCTGCACTAACAGCGAGGAGCCTACCTGGGATTCTCTCTCTCCCTCTCCCTCTCCCTCTTCCCCTTCCTCCCTCTCTCTGTCTCTCCCTCTCTCTCCCTCTGTCTCTCAAAATAAATAAATAAACATTAAAAACAATAAAAGCCCCACATCCCTCTACAGGTACTGCCCTGTCTCCTTCTTCCCCATCACATCCACTTTAAAGAAAGTTTATCTATACTGGCTGTCTCCACCCTCCCCGGCTCCTTTCTTTAGCCCACACTGAACTGGGTTTTTTGTCATCATTCCACTGCACAACACCCACTAAGGCCACCAATGGCTTCCATAAGGACAAATACTATGGATACTTTTTCAGTCTTCATCTTACTTTACCTCTCAACAGTTTTGGACAATGTTGACCACTCCCTTCTTATTAAAATACTCCTTTCATTGATTTCCGTGACATAACATGCTCTTGGGCTTTCTCCTACTTCTCTGGCCACTCCTTTTCTGTCTCTTTTGCAGACCCATCCTATTTAACCCAGTCATTAAACATTAGAGTTCCTCAAAGCTTGGTCCAAGCACCTCTTCTCTTCTCACCCTGTGGTTTCTTTCTTTCTTTTTTAAAAAATATTTATTTATTTTTGAGAGGGAGAGACAGAGCGTGAGCTGTGGAGGGGCAGAGAGAGAGAGGGAGACGCAGAATCCGAAGCTAGCTCCAGGCCCCGAGCGGTCAGCACGGAGCCCGACGCGGGGCTTGAACTCACAGACTGCGAGATCATGACCTGAGCTGAAGTCAGACACCCAACCGACTGAACCACCCAGGCGCCCCCTCACCCTATGGTTTCTTCACACACCTCCATATTCCAGTTTATACCTATACACAGATGAATGACAAAGTTATATCTCTCGACCGGATCTCTGTTCTGAGCTCCACATCTGTATACCCAATTGCTTACTTGACATCTGTTGGCTATCTCATTAACCCTTCCAACTCAATATGCCCCAATTTGAACTCGGTCTTCTCTCCAAACTGGGTCCTCCGTCAGGACTCCCTCAGTGAATGGCATCATCATGCGTTCAGTTGCACAAGGCAAAATCCTCTCCCTCTGTCTCCTTCTTTTTCTCTCTCGCCTGCCATAGCCAACCCATAATTTTGTCCTATAACTCTTATCTCCCAAATAGCTCTTGACTCCATCTGTTTATCTCCATCTCTATCACTTACCACCCTGACCAAGCCCCCATTGGCCTCTCACCTGGACGACTGCACAGCCTCCCACCTGATCTCTGCTTCTGCTCTTGGTGCCCCTCCAGTCACTTCCATAAGAAAATCAGGGTGATCTTTTTTGAAATGCAGATTTGATCCTCTCTCTCTCTCTCTCTCTCTCTCTCACACACACACACACACACACACACACACACACACACACACACACATTTAGCTCCCTTTAGTGGCCTTCCATTACTCCTAGGATTAAAAACAAATGTGTTTCTTAATAGAGCTTATAAAGCTATACACAGTTTGGCCCCTACCTACCTGTCCAGCCTCACTTTGCAGGACGTTTCTCCTTTGTTTCTTGGGCTTCGGCCCACCAGCCTCGTTTTAGTCCTCCAGTATTTGGCATTCTCTTTCCCACCACAAGACCACCCCCTGTGCTGCTCCCTGTACTTGGAATGTTCTTCCCATCCTTCTTCATTCGATTAACTGCTCCTCATCCTTCAGATCCAAGCTCATGCATCACTTCCTCAGGGAAGACTGCTACCTCCCTTCGCCTCCAGGACTGGATCAAACCAATCTATTCTAGGCTCTTATGACAGCC